CCTCGTACTTCTGCGCTGTAGTAACTATCACGCTGTAATTTCATCATTTCAGTGTCCCCCGTAATGCATGTCGGCTGTGTGAGGGCGGGAACTGAACCCCTTATGCTTTGTATCTCAGTGCCTCGCACACAGTTGTCATCTTACGTATTTGTTAAATGACCACATGTCTTGGTACACAGTGAACTTGTCAGACTGTCTTGGCTTCATGCCATTAGAATTTTAATTCATTTCCACTTCTGATTTTGTGTTTGGCAAGCGACCTTCTGATTATGATTTAGCTTCCTATGTTGATGGAATGAGAATGTTTTGATCAGAAGATCTTCAAGTATTTCCCATCATAGATAGGAAGATAACTGAACATGTGAACCTTGTAGATTGGGAATTAGAAGGTCGGAATTTGGGTTTTACGTGTTACCCTCCTGAGCCTGGATGAACGCTCCCCTCATGGGATAAGAACAAGATGAAATTTCTGACCCAGACCCAGGTCAGTTCACCGCAGTAAGAAGTGTCTTTGGAGAGTCCTTGGCTATCATGTGATGGGGAGACTCTGTCATTACCAAGTGCAGGAGAACAGGAGTGTTAATTTCTGGGCACTCATGTTTTTATAACAACAACAGTGCGATTCTAGGCATCTAACATGATTCACTCATTTAATCATCAGCTCAACCCTGTATGAAAAGCTTATTAGTCCTAGAGTTAGACTTGCTTCTTAAACAAGATTTCTCATGATCAGAATCTGTTGAGTAGGAAAAATAAGGCTAACAATGTATAGTGTCATTCACTCCAAGGATCCAAACTCTATTTCCTCCTTGGTCACTTCTCAAAGACAGGAATCTCAAAATCCTTAGGGAAACTCACCCTTAGTAAAGAATCATAGGGCAGGAAAAGATCTTGAGGAATCACCTTGCTGAGGGATCAGGGAGCTTTCTAAAGCGATGCAGGGAGTCTTCATTGGTTTCTGATTGGAGACGGGCTCAGTGGCTGTTGAAACTCACACACTGACCGAGACTTAGTCAGGGCTGCCCTGAAGGAGTAGGCCTAAACCCACAAACCCAAGAAATCCAGGGGTCCTCAGTGAGAGGAGTGGCGGCAGCGTGGGTGGCCCGCCCTTCCAGTGCATTCTTACTTCCTTCTGCACCCCCAGGCACGTGTCATTCCACTTCACCTTATGTGTGCCACGGGTCGCATGCATCATATACAGTACACAGAACGTCACTTAGAGCCAGTCTACCTTCCTGTTTTATAACAGCAGTTTCCTTAATACCTCACGGCAGCCTACAGCAAACCTAGACTAAACCTACTGGCAGCCTGTTACCATTCTTCATGTGGTATTAAGATCTCCCAAGCGTCCTCTTTAAGTGGTTTGGCGCTTTGGACTACCCTGGGAAATAGCAGGTGGGGGTTCAAGGGTGCAGTACGAGTGAACAGCTGGTTTCCCACCAGCCTGAGCTCCTAAGGAGCAAGGCTGCTTTTCTGTGTCTTTGTCTTACCAGCTGGCCCAGCAGCCAGCAGGCTGGCAGCGCTCAGAGACAGCGGAGGCTTGTTAGGGGAATGAATGAATGAATGCATGAATGCTGTCAGTTCTCAGTATCTGCTAATGCTCTGCATTATAGTGGAGGACCCCACCTTATTCAGATGGCTAGTGTAGTAGTCAGAGCATCCGAGGCTCTGGGTTAAGACAGATGCCCACACGGGGCTCTCCCGCTTCCTGTAAGCTCACTGGGAACAAAGGCTTTACCCTTTCTGCTCTTTAGTTTCCCGACAGCGGGGCTTTTTGAGGACCCTCTCCTTTGGGGGGGGGTGCCTGTAAGTACTGAGTGAGCATGTTTATGGAACTAATGAAAGCAGACCTTCATTCTCTCCTCCTCTTTTCTTTCTTCTCGTTCTGATGTGGGGCTTTTTCAGTGAGTGTCTTTCTGGGTTCTCAGGTGTGGGTCGCTGACCGAGGCAATAAAAGACTTCAGGTGTTTGATAAAGACTCTGGGGAGTGGTTAGGAGCGTGGAATAGCTGCTTCACAGACGAGGGACCTTCTTCAGTCAGGTAATTGTTTTCTTTTTATTTTAAAATGCTTGTTGGATTCGGGTCATGTTCATTTCTCTGAAGAGCTAGCTGCAAGTTGGAAATGTTTACTGTTAACTTTTAAGCAGGGAAAGGAGGGAAGGAAACAAGCATGCGGAGAACACGTAATCCCATTTCACATCCCGGGCAGCGTGCCGCGCAGTGCTCGACCCTCCTCCAGCCTCCACCCTCGAGATCATTTATTTTTAAACAGAATGAAAATAAAACATCTTGAAGGAGGAGGGTAGAGTGCATGCTTAGCGTGCACGAGGTCCTGGGGTCAATCCCCAGTACCTCCATGAAAAAAAAAATAAATGAGTAAACCTAATTACTTCCCCTTGCAAAACAAAAAAAAAGTGTCGGACCCAGACTAACACTGAGTCTCCACTAGTTTCATGTTTGTGTACTATGATATTGTTTTTTTTTTTAATTTAAGCTAACCTTTGGCTAAATCTCCCATCACAAATCTCTCGTTCCCTCATCAGCAGAATTAGATCAATTTTAAATTCTCCCTGAAAGAACACCTTCAGCAAGCAGGTGCTTACAGGCTGTTTCATGCTGTTGGGATACAAATGTGGAAAAAATAAACCTCCGTGTTAGTCTTACACTGACTGATTCTGCAGGTGTCTTTCCCCGTAGATTTACTCCTGACGGGAAGTACCTGATCGCAGCCCAGCTGAGGCTCAGCCGGCTCCTCGTGGCGGCCGCGCCCCCCATAGGGAGCATTGGCCACTGCTCCGTGATCAGCACCATCCAGCTGGCAGACCAGGTTTCACCCCATCTCTTAGACGTCAGTGCCAAGACTGGAGCCATCTACGTGGCAGAAATTGGAGCAAAACAAGTACAAAAATATGTCCCCATGAATAGTTTTTTCTCTTCATTTGGTTCATACGTTTCTCTTCCTGAAGATGTTTCACGTGGAAGTTGGGATTCTCAAAATCATGGTTGAATACTCTACAGTAACGTTCAGGCATAGGGGTTTGTTTCTTCATTTTACCTTGACCCTGTGTCAGAAACGTTTGTTTTTAATATCATTAAGAAGCATGTCTTTTGGCATTCTTGTGACTTAGTTTTATTCGTCAGTGTGTAAGGATGTTTTAATGAAAGAAACGCAACTAATGAAAAAAGGATGAAAAAGAGGGACTAAGGTTGTTGTAACTTAGTAATCTTCCTTGTTGGCTGATTCTCCCTGGGGGTGAAAAGACAGGAATCAAAATGGGTTTGCAGGATAATTTATAGAATTTCATATAAAAACTACAAACCTTCGCTTTATTCCCTTTATAGGAAGGGAGCCACTTGAGAGATGGGGTCACGTGGGGTCCTGACTGACAAGTACTCACAGAGTGCTAGGTCCTGAGAGTTCAGAGGTGAAGAGGCCGGGTTTGTCCGTGTGCATTCGAGTAGCTCAGAGTCCACACAGCCCAGTGACAGCAGCGCACGGGTGTCCTGGGACTTTGGAAGGAGGAGCACCTGAATGGTGGAGACTTCGCAGGGGAGCTATTTTGAGCTCCCACTTGCAAAACTGAGGAGGAGAAAACAATGTGGTCCAGGTCGAGAAGTTAGGAAAAATTGCACGCTTGTTGTGAAAGTAGGTAAACTTTCTTTTAAAAGCCCAACTTGGCTTTAGTCCTTTAGCTGCAAAATACTTAATCTCAGTTTTAAATGTAGGAATAAGTGGCTAGCGTGTAAGCACTTTACCAAAAGGGATTTTTACAAATCACAGGGGTGTTTTTTTAAAAGTAGTGTTAAAAGTAAGCCCTCTCTTCAGTGCCTCCATCTTTTTTTTTTTTTTCCAAACAGGAACTCCGTTCATTCTAACGTTTGCCTACCTCAAAGAAATTTTAGAATTATTTATATGAGGGTATGTGCCAAGCACCTGGAGCTGTTAAGATGAATAATTCCCTACCTTTCTGTCCCTACATCTCTTTTTATCCTTTTGGTATGAAGGTTGGCCTCCCGGTTGAGACCGTCGGTTCAGTTTGTTCTGGTTTATTCTAGGTTTTGAAGGAACTTTGCCATGTTAGGATCTTTCAGATCATCGCCCTTTCTCGTCTCAGCCTCCCTCTTCATCCTAGGGTTGCACTGGACACTGTGTAGCGTGTCTCGAGCTGACTTTCCGCATCAGCCATTATGGCTGGAGTCTGTTTTCCAGACCTCAAGGGACTCACACTTGTTTTGATGCTGAGTCCCATCTCGATGCAGTTAGGAAAGTAAATCTACCGACAGGAAACTCTCCTGTGTTTCAAGGCCATTGAGAAGTGTGTTTGTGCCACTGAGGGAGCTATGTGACCTAAATGAGTCACCTTAGTGTTCCCTTCAGTGTAATAGGAACATCCCTGCCTTTCCTCCTTCAGGAAGTGCTGTGAGGACCAGACATGTGATATGTGCACGTGTGCCCTTTGGAGTCGGTAGCTCCAAATACATTAAAGGCATTTTATTAGCAAAGGTCCTTCTAAATGTGTCATTTACCTGATTCCAGCTGTCTGCTTTGCCTTAATTTTGCATTTACTGCTTTTTATCAAAACACATCCTCATGAACTTCATGCAGTTTGGCCATTATAGTAAATTGATTTGGATGAAAGGAAGTCATTTGAGGTTTCATTTGTTTTGTTTTTAAGCCAGGACAAGAAACGGTCTCTTTGAAGGAATGCGAGGTCCATAAATTGATTTTGTCATTTCAAAAATGTTGTATTTAACTTTGTTTTATACTAGATTCTTATAAAACTTGCTGCAAGTATTGTCTTCATGTGTCTTGCTAAACGTGTTTATTTTGTTAGTATACTTGTAATCAGTTTTCCACTTTTTTTTCCTTTGGATTAATTGGTTAAATAAATTGAATGAGAAATGTGTTGTATTTTCTATTAAAAAATACAAATTAAAATTTTTGAAAGAAAACTCAGTATTATCTGGTTTTCCAATTAATGTTTGATTGTATTGTTAAAAAAGCAGTTTATGATTTCTTATTCCGTGGAAGAATTTCAACAGTCATGGACTCACAGGGTGATACTGAGGATGTGTCCTCTTCATTCACGTGTGAAGTGAGGGCTGGAGTGTGTTGTGAATATAGCTAGCATTTGCTTGGAAGATTTAATTTGGCTTTTAAGATGATGGGTGGGTACAAATGATACTAATTACTAGCTAGCTCTATATTTTTTGCGTTAGAAATGGAATCTCTCTATGCCTCTACTTTCTAGATCTGTTCTGGGGGAGAAGAGGTAGGGCGTGTCACTGAGAAACCCAAAGGCTGTGGGTGTCTTTCCTAACCTCCACTGTAACATTGGGTCTTTGAAGTGGAACGTTTGCCCGTCAAGGTAAACGGGTGCAGTGTGACGGCTCAGCTAAGGAGGCCTTGTATACTTTGTGCTCAGATCACGTAACAGGTTAGAAGACAGCTTCAAGCAATATGGCTGTTGGGCAAAAGGCAGTCAAGGTCTAACCTTTGTTCTGCTTTTGTTGGGTTTAAACATTACTGGGTTTAAAGCAGGATAGATTGGATAGCCAGCATTAAAACTGGAGACTCAGATTTTTGCTCCTTTGACTCACCAAAATAAATTAGAATCAACAAAGTCTTTTTTTCAAAAGTCAGAATAGATCCCGTTTATTCAACAAAAATATATGAGACAATAAATGTGTGAAGACACTTAGGCAAGTGCCTTAGCAGTTCATGACCTGGTTGGGGAAACAGGCCACAACCACCCTTACTTCTCAGCTCTTTCTGGGAGGTGCCGTTTGGCACTTGTGTTGTATTTCATTCTCGATACAAAAGAGGGCAGCAGAGTCCTGCTTATGGTAAGCATTTCTTGAAATCTAATGGGAGCATCAGTTGACCTTTATACTCTGATTTTTTTTTTAATCTAAGGCTACAGACAGTGGTAACCAGGTAACCATACCTTTAACTTTCCTTCTTTTTCTTTACTTTCCTCGCATCTTGAGGAAATTCATTTATAGGTGATATGTTTTCCAAGGATTGTTGGAAATGTTTACTGTTTCATTGGATATTCCGATGTTTAAGGGGGAAAAAAGGTTAAATCTTTTCAATAATTCAAACTAACAGCCAGAAGTGAATAACTTTTTAAACTGTAACCTGAATGTGTATTTCATAAAGTAGAAAATGTGTTTGTGATAGAGAATTATTCCTTTTCTTTCTACTAGGTTTTTTTTTCTTAAACAATTTTGTCTTGTAGTTGCTGACTCTTTTTACAAATAAGAAAAATGGATTATTTACAAAAAGGCACTTAACCTATAGAATCCATGAGCCCTGCCACTGACTGTCTGCATTGTTCCAAGACTGCTTCATTTTTCTCATTTGGGAAATGGAGGTGATAGTATTTTCCTCATAGTATTATACAAACAAGCCCATGCATATAGAGCATCACACCCAGTCCCAGTCCAGTATTTTTTTTTTTTTTTTGGTTTGCATTAAAGCTGTTTATCCATCCAACAGGTAAACTACATGCTAGGTCCCAGGAACACCACGGTGAGCAAGGTAAATTTTCAGGACTTTATATTCTGCTTGGGGAGACAGAGGAGTTTGAATGGAAAAATGAGATTCTGATTAGAATTTGTGGTCTATATGAACACTTGGTTGGCTAAGTAAACACCCCTTTCCAACTGTCTCCCTTCCTTTCCACCACCTTAGAGATCAGAAGAGCTGGATACTTGCTTCCTCGGCTTGCCAGCTTCTAGGGGTACCATGTGATGCTGTACTGGCCACTGTAGTTCTGGGGCTTCCAGAAAAATCATTTTTTTTTTAATTAAAAAAAAAAGCAGGGGAGAGGATATAGCTCAAGTGGTAGAGCATGTGCTTAGCATGCATGAGGTCCTGGGTGCAATCCCCAGTACCTCCATCGAAAAACCAAATAAATAAACCTGATGACCTCCCCCCCTGTAAAAGGAAAAAAAAAAGAGGGCAGGCATATTTAGCATCACCACCTTTTCCCTTCTTCCCTGACTTGAACTTGAATGTGATGCCTGGAGTTGTGGCAGCCCTGTTGGAACCATAAAGCAACAAACCAATATTCTAAAGGAAGGCTGAAGGAGACTGGGTTTTTATGATGGAGAAGCTATTGAACTGGACTTGTAGTTCCTTTCTCCAGACTTCTTTTTATGTGAGATAATTAAATATTTTATTTACTTAAGCCACTATTAGTTGGCTGTTTTCTTGCAGATGAAATTATTCCCGAGAAATTCAATATTGAATTAACCTACATTAATTTGGGGAGGATGGATATTTTTTATGGCTTCAACATTCTGTACCCAGGTAAGTAAGTCTCTGTTTTTATGTCTTATGTCATTTAATAAGTTTTTTTTTTAATTTAGATCCTGTGCATTTGTTTTGAGACACATTTAGATTCCTGTGTCAAGTTTATTCTATGCATTTATTAATTGTAGCTAGTAGAGTAGGATTTTTTCCCCCTTTTCTAATTAGCTTTTGGTGGTATAGGGAAAAAGTATCAATTCTTTTTATATATATCATATTTTTTCACCTTAATAAACTCTTACTAATTTAATCAACTATTACAGATACTCTTGGTATATGATTCTGAACTATACATCTTTCAATATTTATATTGTTTGCTTAATTTTAAAAATTTCATTACATTAGCTACACTGTTCAAAACAATGTTGAATAATAGCAGTGATATGGAATACCTATCTTATTTCTGATTTTAATGGAAATGTTGATACTTCACCAATTAACATGTTTGCTGTTAAGTCTTGGTAATTTTCATATTTAAGTAGGTTTTTTTAATCTCTTGGAATCTTATTAAAAATAATTACTTAATTTTATAAAATGGCTTTTGGCACTGATGTATACAACATGTTGGTTAATGAAAGTTATAGTTTTTTTTAATGTTTATTATTGGAAAAAAAACTTTACTTGGTCATCATTTCTTGCCTAGAACTTTTATTCTTGAAACAAAGAGGGCAGTAGAGTTTCATTTATATACAGTTCATTATGTTTCACCCATCTCTAAAAGGAATTTTAATTTCTTTACAATAAAATATTTCCACTTTTAGGGAACAAAACTTTTTTCCCATTTTTCACTGCATGGATTTTTATAGGTGAAAAAAATAACATACTTCAACAAAAATTTAATGTAACAAAATTTCGTATTTTTATATGATGAAAAATCAAGGAAGGTGTGAGAAGGGGACAGGGTCTTTAAGCCAGTAATTCAATAAATAAGAAGTACTAGTATTTGGTGCACACACTCCTGATTGGATGGAGACTGGCACTGTCCAATAGAAGTGGTGGTGGGCATGGTCTGTATTTCTGCCGTCCAACATGGCCGCCCTGAGCACTTGTGGCTTTTGAGCCCTAGAAGGTAGCTTATGTGTATGAGAACTTGAATTTTCAACTTTAATTTAACTTTAAATTGTCATAGATGGCTATGAGCTACTGTATTGGTCAGCACAGCAGGTGATTCTAGGTTTTCATAATAATGACGAGTAATTTGTTTTCACTCAGTTTCCTTGTTTATTGGCATAATTTGAATTCTCTGTCAATCCCTTAAGTTCGTGGATTATCCAGTGTGACGTTTTGGGCAATGTTAATATTTCAAACTAACCTCAAAGATGAAAAATTAGCCTTCACATTGGAATATTTCACTGCTGAACCGTCTGTTAAGTATTTTCCAAACGGAAGTGAAGCCAGTCTGTGAAGAGCTAAGTAAATAGTTCTCAAGAAGCTTTCAAGTTATTTATGTATGTGTATATTTACTTTATCAGCTCACCTCTGGGGACATACCTGTTCTATTAGTTTTTTCCCCCTGAGAAGAAATCATTTTTCACATGAAACAACTCAGGTTTCAATGCAAACTTGTTTCACATAGGTTATGTACCCACAGAGGTACTTACAATAATTGTTTCAAACATCCTAAAAGTCAAGGTAGAAGGCAGTTAAATACAATTGCAGCTTCATACTGGTTTAATTGTTACATCTTTGCTAATGATTACATTGGTTTTCATCTTTATTTGTATTTTAAAGCCTAGATAATAAAATTTATTCCCGGGGTGGGGGAGGGTAGAGCTCAGTGGTAGAGTGCATGTCCAGCACGCACAGGGTCCTGGGTCAACCCTCGGTGCCTCCATTAAAAATAAATAAGTAAATAAGCCTAATTATCTCCCCCCAAAAAGCCCCCACAGAATAGTTATTCCAAATAATACTGCTTCCAGTTTTCTGATATATTATGAAATATTTCAACAGTTATCAACTCATAGACAGTGTCATTCCGTTGACGCCCCTGCGTACTTACTCCCTGCCCACTGATTATTTTACAGTCTCTAGCATCATATTATTTCATCTTTAGATAGCATGTTTTTCAAAGTGTAAATGATAATTTTTCTAAACAATGCTACTGACTTCAAGTTTTATAGTTCCTGAATATTATTAAATATTGTCAGTGTTCTAATTTTACCTCATCTTGTATATTTTTTAAATTGTTTGCTGGGGTTGAAATAAGTTCCATATATTGATTTCTTAATTTTTATTTAATCTGGCCATCTGTTTCATAGTTTCCCAGAGTCTGGATTTTGTTGATTTTATCTGAATTTGGCAAACATGTTACTCTGTCTCCTATAATTCCTGTAAATTGGTAGTTAGTGCTACAGTCTTCATCAGATTAGGATTTTATATATATATATATATATTTTTGGCAAAATTACATTAGGTGGTGGTGTGTACTTCTGCTTTGTACTTTTGTTTGAATTGTCCAAGAAACTTCAAAACTATTCTGTATCCTACATTATATTTTACGCAGACATCTCCAATTTGCTTTTATACTGCGTCTCCCCATAAATATGCTTTTGAAAGGTATTTTCTTACAAAGGCTGAATTTTGTGTGTCCAGCTGACATTCAGTGATGCTGGGAAAATAGCAACCATTTCACTTG